ACGGCAAAGAAGCAGGGCTATCTACTAGATATGAAATCAGCGTGGGAGATCAGCCGTCACATGCGCATGTACATACCACGTTTGGAGATCTTATCAGGCCTCGAGGTCCGAGAAATCATCTAAATCATCCTCATCTTCTACGACCGAGAGCACGTTTAAGGGCGATTTGCTGGTAGATTCACCTGTGGATGCCGAGAATATATCATCGGAATGTTTTCCTAAGATCTTTGAGACTTGTCGTGCCTGAGTAGATAGAGATCGGAGGATCTCGCATTCGTCATCGTAGACAGCTTGAAGGTAGTTGGTATCGTCTGCAACTTCTGTCAGGTTACGGGAAGAAAACCACTCTCTCATTTTCTCCAACTTGGCATCCTCTAACCCCAGGAACCGTTTACTCTCGACATGGAGTGCTTCAAGGAATGCTGTATAGCGCTCGGCCTCTTCAATCTCCCATGTTGTCGTCAACAGACGTTGGCGCGCAGTCTCACGGGAAGCCAGCTTCGCTTTGTATGCCTTGTACAGAGTTGCGAGGCTCAATTGTGACAAGCCTCTCTCCACTAGTTGTTCATTCTTGCAATAATTAACATGAGAATGAATGAACGATTGTAAGAAAAAATACCTGTTCAGTTTCTTCGGGAGTGAATTCTGGTTGGCGTACCCTCCCTGTTACACGAGCTGCAAACCGAAGCTCTAGTGGAGCTGGGTGGAGAGGGTATGGCTGATGTTTCCTGGACATTCGTTCCCGCAGGTACTGTGCACGAGGGGAAGCACCTGGAGGTGGAGTATCAGAATGCCTAAAGAATAGGCTCTCTTTGCCATCTGGAGGGCTCGGCACTTCATCCATAAAGGGGAGAGAACGGTGTGACCCAGTTGGAGAAAGCACAGAGATCATCGATTCGGGGGATTTGTCTGAGTTTATCTGCTTGGACAGAACGTGAATTCCGGATGATGATAAGCCTTTATATTTGGCGAGGTCATATGTTGATGATTCGACAAGAGTTCCACCGCTAGAAGCTCCGCTAGAATTAGAGGGACTGCTTGATCGAGGGGGGGAGCATGGAGGAGAGGATGTATTCATCATCCAGAAGTCGAGTATTACTGAGTACTTTGCTAATGATTCTGAGCAAATGCGCAGGTCAGCGGAGTTTCAAAGACTTGAAGATTATTTGCAGTGTGCTGCCAGAGTGTATACAACTTTATACCGCAAAGCAAAGCTTACAATGTGCGTACAATTTTTGCTCAACGAACAGACATACCTTCATACTTTGACAGGCTTTGTCCCAACTGTCAAGGAGCCTTTCCAACGATTGAATTAATCACAGCCCATCTCAATTCTCAGTCTACTTGCTGGCCATCCGATGCACGTCCACAAGAATTGCCTCTCCCTCCTGCATTTCGTCAAGGTAACCATCCGACTGGCTATATACCCGCTACTGGTCGTTGTCATCCACACTCTGGATACATTTTCGGAACTGGCAAAAACATGCTCGATAAGCTGGAAGACGACGAGTATGCATATCGGCGTAAGGAAAACACTTACTACCCTTTTCATGACGAAGCCGAATGGCAATTGGGGAAGTTCTTGGTCAAAAATCTTACTCAAACTCAGATCGCCAAGTTCTTGAAGCTGACATGGGTAACCGTGAACTTAAGCTCCTACCTTCAAGTCTGATCCTATGCCCACAGTTTGACACTCGTGAAAGACCATCTTTCACTTCGAAGGATCAACTCATAGGCTGGATGGATACGCTACCCTGCTTCACGGAGTGGAAAGTCTCTCAAATCGCATTCACCGGTTACAAGACATCTCAGCCTATAGAGCTCATTTGGCGCGATGCGTTAGATGTGGTCAAGCAACTTTTCAGCGATCCAACTTTTGCTAATCATATGACATTTGACCCACATGTCGTCCAAGCTGGAGATCAGCGCGAATATGGAGATTATATGAGCGCTGACATGGCATGGAAAATTCAGGTATATTTGCTGTCAGTCTACTGGTCGTAATTTGATGGATTTTCTAGGATCATCTTCCTATGGGCGCAACTCAAGTCCCAATCATATTAGGTTCCGATAAAACTCCTGTAACACGAGTCACCGGTGGGCTCGAGATGCATCCGGTCTTCATCACCATCGGCAATATCGACTCCGAAGTTCGCTCTAAGGCAACGTTACGAGCTTGGCGCTGTGTAGGCTATATGCCCATTGTCAAGTTCAAAGTGCATCCGGACTATCAGACAATCCTACAGGCACGACTATGGCACAAATGTATGGATCTCATTTTAGCCAATCTCAAGGCCGCAGCAGCAGAAGGCTGTTTCATGTCGGATCCCTTCCGATATATTCGTTATGTCTTTACACCTCTCATTGCTCATGTATGCGACCTGCCAGAGGCCAGTATGATCGCTGCAACTAGTAAAAGTGCATCCCCTCTGACCATGGCAACACAAAAGGAATTCGGTGATGGCACACTCCACCCCCCTCGTACTGGCCGGCATACGCTACAACTCATTGTCGACATATCCAAAACAATTGATCCTTGGGACCTGGACAAGTTCCAGAAAGCGGCTAAAGCCGTCTATCTTTCCGGAGTTCATATGCCATTTTGGCGTGATTGGAAGTACGCCTGTCCGTCTGTCTTCCTTGCTGCTGAAATCCTCCATACTTGCCATAAGTTTTTCTTTGATCATCCGCTCAATTGGGTCAAGGAGGCCGTGGGCAAGCATGAGCTCGATGCCCGCTTCGCCATTCAGCATAAACGTGTTGGGACACGCCACTTTGCGAAAGGTGTCACCCACGTTAAGCAAATGACCGGGCGTGAGCACAGAGATATCCAACGCACTATTGTCGCGTCAATCGCAGGGGCCACTCCACCCAGATTCATTCGTGCAATTCGTGCCCTCATAGACTTCATCTACCTCGCACAAAATCCAGTTCATTCACCTGACTCACTGAAGTCCATGGCACAGGCACTTGCGGATTTCCACTCCTTCAAGGATGCCATCGTTGATGCTGAGGCAAGGAGGGGGAAGAACGGTGCGAAAGAAGATTTTTTCATCCCTAAACTCGAGCTACTGCAAAGCTTTTGCGGGACGGTGGAGAGACTGGGCTCCCTGATGCAGTTTTCGGCTGATGTGACGGAGCGCTTGCTCATCACACACTGTAAGGATCTGTTCAGTCGGACAAGTCGGCAAAGCAAAGATTTTGCATTGCAGTGTGTGCGGATCCTGAACCGGCAAGAAGCAATGGAGATCTTTGACCTGTTTGCGCTGTTGCATTCTCGCGGCGCATCACTAGTCAATGCTATACATGCCGAGGATGAAGATGTCATAACCACCAACCCTGCGCTCTCCTGGGTTTCCCGAGTTCTCCCTGACGAAGCGAAGTCCGTCCATGGTCCTCGACCTGTCCGCAACCACTTCCTCAAAGGCATTCTCTCTGGAGATGCACTCACCGCCTTTCAACTGAATGTAACACCGGATTACAAATCTCTGTCCCCAGTTGAGATTCGCACAAAATACTCGCTCCCTGACTTTGATATCATGCTCACCGATTTCATGCATCGTTCATCCCAGTCCATGGGCGAGCATAGCCTCTGGGACGGCAAATATGGGCGCCTCTCTACGTGGAACAAATTCCGACTACAGCTTCGCTCAGCATTCCAGCCACGAATCATAATGCCAAGCAGAGTGATACAAGCTTACCCACCTAGTGAGGATTTCCCCTTCGGCAACTGTGATACAGTTCTCATTGAAACCATGAGAGATGATGGCCAAACGAGTATGTATGTTTTTGTACTGGTTTTTAGTACTGATTTTATCACTTCTTCCAGGCAGTCGTGTCGCACAGGTCCGACTGGTTTTCCAGCCAATAATTCGACGAGGATCCAACTTAGACCTTCCAACATACCTTTCTACTCCGCTTCTTTACGTCCAATACTTCCACTTTATCGCCTCTCCTGACGAACAACCCGAACTTTCAATGTGGACCGTGGAGCGTTCGTACGTTCAAGATAATACTGGTAATCGTTATAGGCAGGGCGCTGTGGTGCAAATTACAGACGTAACACACGCTATTGAACTCATACCATGTTTCGGCGAGAAAGTGGCCAGTGATATTTCGTCGGCCACTTGTTTGGAACGCCACGAGCGTTTCTTTTTGAACAACTTTGCGGACAAAGAGAGCTACCATACATTTAGTACTGAATTTGCGTAGACCGTGGCTAGATTAGCATGATCAATTGTATTGACTATTGCTATCGCATCTTATCACCGAAAGATAATCAGGCTTGAGTTTTATCAGCCAGATGCTAGTGCGTTATATTGGTGTTCAGCATCTCCACCAATCGCATGAGTGCGCTACTGAAGTCGTAAGCGTTCGTAAGTGTCCGTAACGCGCGTAAGTTAAGCGTTCATTTCAGTGGTTTTGCAGATGTAGTAAGTGAGAAAGATAGGTGGATGTGCGTGGTTTGGTGGAATGGAAGTAGGAGGCGTGGTGTCCACATGTTTGCAATGAGGATTACTATCATAAGCGCCCGTTAGCCTGAACTATGAATAGCTTGTCATCTCGAAAGCCGAAGCAGGTTAATCAGGCAAAAGGCTATCAAGAAACCTCACCGATCGATGCTTAGCGCTTAGGTGCGAATACCGGGGCAACGGTGTCCAACAAGTGACAATACTTATTGCAAGGACAAATCCATTCAAGATGATCGAGTCCGAGTCTTGGGCCTGTCTTTATTTATTTGTACATGTTTTCAGCTGAATCAGACTCAGTCACAGTGGTTCGAACGACTGAAGCCTTGCAAACGATCCCTCCCTGTGCTGTATTTCAGCCTTTACGAGAAGCATTGGTTAGAATATTTCTCTGATGTGACAGAAGTTCAACGTGAGTGTCAAGTTCCCGCAATATCGATGATGAGTACTAGTCTGCGGTGGATAACTTATGTCGTAGCTACCCGGAATCCGCTTCAGCGACTCGGACGTGCGCGTGACAGGGGTGTCGCCTTTTTGAAATTGGCTTCCATAGGGGTACTATATAATCACTTCGCACTCGATACTCTCTCCTGACTTCTCGCTCTAATGATTCGACTCTGCGTTAGTGGCATCGAGTTACACCGCACCAGGTTCTTCTTCACCATCTCATTCAATCGAGTCTCCCGTTGACTCGCTAACTATCCACAAGATGAAGTTCAAATCGATTACTACTATCCTTATCCTCGCTGCAACAGCTGGGCCCGTAGTCGCAGGCCTAATCGCATATGCTATCTGTCAAACTGGTAAGGTCAACGAGCACGATCATCGTGTACAGCTGTCTCCACTTTTTTTAGCAGGCTGCAACGGAATCGCTGTTGCGTGCTACTCTGCAGCCGGATTTACATTCGGCGTCGCATTGCCTGCGGCCCCTCCCGTCATTATAGCTTGCAATGCAGCCCTTGGGGCATGTATGGCAGCTTGCGCTGCAATCGCGCTTGGACCCACTCCCTGAGTGAGTCCATTCGTGAATGCGGCGAAAAGAACAAACATGTTCAAGGCTTGTAACGTATTCTTTGTGGCACTAGTGTATCATTTTCATCTCGTAGCTGTCGGTTTTTTGAAGTCGTTCTATTATTCATGTATTGTATGGTTTGTATTCGGATCTTCGACTGTACAAAGTACTTCTATCTTACATGCTGTCGTTCTAACTGTTTGTTACAAGTAATGTTTTCGCTGTCTGGAATGTAGCATATGTTGACACGGTTGAGTGCATCCATGGTCGTCGCGATGGGTAGAGGTTTCGACAGTCATTACATAGTACTCTCGAGCCGTAGATATTGATTGTGAGAAGACTCTGGGCAAGTTTGTTTTGTCAATACCTTATTCTATTGTTTCAATCATTAAGAGCGTTGGTTAAACAGTGCGACATCGTAGTTGACAGGGTAATCTTCAGGGGGATGCGTATCAAATTGATCTGCGGCACACAAATGGCTGCAGCTATCCGTTGTAGTTTTAGTTTGTGTGCATGAGCACAATTCGAGTAGTTGAATCGTGATCATGGTTCTTGATGCATCCGACCTCAGTCCATAAAAATGTATATTTCCTAATGATAAGCATTATGCAACAAAATCATATATAGCAACGTGTATGTATCATCCATAAAGATATAACAATAAAGCTCATATAACAAAAATAATGTTCAAAGTACATAGTGATCGACGGCGCTATAACACCCTCTATTTTGAAGCTGAAAAGTACAGAGTCATGCAGGATAACAACGCAGAAGGAGAACAACGTACCTCCATCGGACAAATGACATGGTTAGATCGCTTCTTGATCAGCCTAAAAAAGCCCGTTAGGACCATCAGGACCATCAGGCTTGTCAGGATCGCCAGAGTGAAGGCGCGCGTGATCAGGACTCCCGAAGCGTTTGTCTGGAAAGTTAGGCGTGCTAGGGCCGTTGAGTCAAGCTCCATGCGCCTGTTTGGCATCTCAGGTCTGCTAGGACCGTTGGAGTCAAGCTCCGTGCGCCTGTTTGGCATCTCAGGTCTGCTAGGGCCGTTGGAGTCGAATTCCGCATGCTCGCTTCCCGACTCAGGTTTGCTAGGGCCGTTGGAGTCGACCTCCGTGCGCCTGTTTGGCAACTCCGGTTTGCTAGGAACGTTGGAGTCAAGCTCTTCGCGCTTGTCGGGCCCGTAGGAAGAGCTGGGAGAACTGGGAGAGTTGGAAGACCTGAGAGAGCTTAGGTGGCTGATGTCTCTAGTGAACGGCGCATCAAGCCTATGAGTTACTCCCGACCATCGTGGACGGCAAAGTGCGCACTGAGTTACACGAGTTGCTCATCCAACTAAATTGAAGTTCGCGAGGAATCGGCACTTACGCGAAAAAATTATGACAAATCAAAAGGGCTCTATGCTGCGGCTCTATGTCATGTACCTGCGGGGAAAAGGCATTTATGGCTCAGCTCCATCTTGGTACCGTACCAATCAGCCAAACTACCGCTTCTAGCATTTGCCGCGGCAGGAATCCTCAAATGTTCGTGCATTTCACGTGTATATGACAGGTTTTAATGTCGCGGACAGTATCATGAGAGCTCCAGCCTTAGGTCCGTATGCTTGCACCTTTCCTTCCTTCCACCTCGCTCAAGTATCATGACCCTCAGCTGGCTTCACAGCACACATGCTGTGGTAGCATTGGGCAAACATGGTATGATACCAAAGTGTAGTGCGAGTGTCTAACATAGAGTTCAACCTTCAATTGGCCGCGATCATTTGTTTCACTGCGTCAGTTACCTCTTCCCAACCACCGCAGCAATCTCTCTCCTAGCATCATCTATCATTCCCGCCTGATGCAAGATCATGAGCGTCTTGGTTCTACTCACGCTCTTTACAATAGGATCTATCTCGGCTTTGTTGGGCTCGGAGGATCACTGAGTGGGGGTGAGTATTTTTTTCGTTCTTATCGTTCATCTGTTCTTTTGTTCTCCTTGTCGAAACGAGATCTGAAGACATTGATCCATGCAGTGTCCCGTGTTGCAGTTCAAGAAATTCAACATTATCGGCTGCCCCCCCTTCGAGATCACAGGAAGAGTCAGACAGGATGTGATTTGTGATGCATGTAGAAGCTTGCAGCGATAGTGGAGACAACATAATGTACAGCTATGCTTTATATCATGGAAAATATTATAGAAAATGGACTTGTACGTGATAAGCTCTGGCCAAGACAAACACGTATGGTACGAATCATGTGTAGGGCGTGACACGATATACAAGGGTATCATAATGAAGACAGGGCGGCCTGCTGTTCCCGACACGTGTGCCAAGACATACCATGAGCGAGACGACTCAAGTCGATTTGTGAGGGACTATCATGTATCACCAGCATGTTGCCTGGGGCATACACCGCCGGGTGCAAAATGGGTGAGATCCAGAGAAGAAGGCGTCCGTCAGGACCTACAACCCATCCATCCTCGTTCGCAGCAACAGAGACTGGGGTTGAAGAATCGTGGAAGAAGGAGGCGGCGGAATGAAGAGCGTAGGATGGGTTAGATGAAAAGCATATCGCAGGCGCTTTGGAAAGGTGGGGCTGGCTAAGGAACTCTATATCCCACACACGGATGGTCTTGTCTTCTGAACCAGACACAATGCGCTTGCCGTCGGATGAGATTGCGACAGACAGAACACTTCCGGTGTGCCCTTGGAAAGCGGGACCCACTCCCTGGCCAGTCTTCATATCCCACAGCCGGATCGTCGTGTCATCTGAACCAGACGCAATGTGGTCCCCATTTCGTGAGATTGCAACAGAGCGAACATAGCCGGTATGCCCTTTGAGAGGGGCACCCAATGTTTTGCCAGTCCCAATATCCCACACACGGATAGTTCCGTCATCTGAACCAGACACAACAAATGTTGCATCCGGTGACACTGCGACAGACCGAACCCAGTCAGAATGTCCTTTAAGAGGATCGCCCACTGCCTCGCTAGTCTCCATATCCCACACCCTGATTCTCCTGTCATCTGAACCAGATACTATGCGTTTTCCATCCAGCGAGATTGCGACGGACCGAACCGAGTTAGTGTGGCCTTGGAGAGGAGTACCAAATGCCTTGCCGGTTGCTACATCCCACACCCGGACTGTGTCGTCCTGTGAACCTGAAACGATGCGATGTCCATCAAGCGAGATTGCAGCACAGCAGACCGTGCCAGTGTGGCCTTCGAGAGGCGCACCCAAAACCTCGCCAGTCCCAATATCCCACACACGAATGCTCTTATCAGCTGAACCAGACACAATGCACTTCCCGTCCAACGAGATTGCAACTGACCAAACAGATCCGGTGTGCCCTTCGAGAGGGGCAACTAATGCCTCGCCAGTCTCTATATCCCACACTCGAACTGTCTTGTCATCTGAACCGGACACGATGCGATGTCCATCTGGGGAGATCGCAACGGAGTTGATGGAGTCAGTGTGGCTTTGAAAGGTAGCGACTGATGCCTTGCCCGTGATAGTGTCAGCATCCCACACCCGGATCGTCTTGTCGTCTGAACCAGAGACTATGCGACTTCCATCCGATGAGACTGTGATAGAGTGGATCGGGGCAGTGTGGCCTTGAAGAGGGGATCCTAATGCCGCGCCAGTCTTCGCATCCCACACTCGGATGGTCTGGTCATCTGAACCAGACACGATGCAATTTTCATTTGGCGAGAATACAACAGACTGAACAGGGCCTGTGTGCCCTAGGAGAGGGGCACGCAATGCCTCACCAGTCTCCATATCCCACACTCGAATCGTGCTGTCTTGTGAACCAGATGCAATGCATTTTCCATCTGGTGAGATTGCGACGGAACGAACCCAGTCAGTGTGCCCTTGGAGGGTAACCAATGCCTTGCCGGTTGCTACATCCCACACCCGGACTGTTTTGTCATACGAGCCAGACACAATATGGTGCCCATTTCGCGAGATTGCGACAGAGAAAACGTAGCCGGTGTGCCCTTGGAGAGGGGTGCCCACTGCCTCGCCAGTCTCCATATCCCACACTCTGATCGTCTTGTCATCTGAGCCCGATACTATGTGATTTCCATCCAGCGAGATTGCGATGGAATTAACAGCGGCAGTGTGTCCTTGGAGGGTACTTAATGCCTTGCCGGTTGCTACATCCCACACCCGGACTGTTTTGTCCCATGAACCTGAAACAACGCGATGTCCATCCGGTGAGAATGCGACAGACACAACAGGGCTAGTGTGGCCTTGAAGAGGGGCACACAATGCCTCGCCAGTTTCCGTATCCCACACCTGGATCGTTCCACGGTATAAACCACATGCAATGCGTTTTCTGTCTGGTGAAATTGCAACCGAGTAAACATAGTCATTCGCATGGATTATCTTTTCCATCGGAGGCCAATTTTCGACGTGGCCAGCGACAATGCGGGGAGTGTGAGGAAAATTTGTGGCGAACTTGCGAAATATTCTCGACTGCGTTGGAGCGAATGGTACAGCGGACAGGTATAAATGGGGAGTGCTGCGTATAATGGTGGGCGCGAAAGTGCGGACGAAACGCAGGGTGTCTCTAATAGCGTCACTAACATGCGTAAACTCGGCATGACCCTACGACCACCCCACTACTCGTAAGAATTTGTTGGGAAAAGAATGAGCTTGATCTACGCACCGAAAACCAATCTGCAATACATGAGAGGGTCGCTGCCGAGCCACTGAGGCTTCTCATCAGAGCCAGTGCTTCCAACCACCAAAGAAGGCGCTCTCCATCGAAGAAAGCCTCGACTTCCTTAGCGAGCGGTGATTCGAAGGACGTAGAGCGGACATGAGTCCCCCAAAACCGACATGAGTATGATAGTTCAGCCGGAATGGATTGTTTGACTCGTTTCTCCAAATCAGGGACGGAAGAGTTGGGCAAGTACGAATTCTCTAACGAGCAGATGTTGAAGCGAAGCCCGCGCTCCGAGTCCATGACCCGAAGCGAGGCGAAGGCAAGATTTCTATGCGCCGCTGACGCATCAACAAAAAAGTCATGGCTCCGCGATTCGTCTATGAGGAAGTCGTAGAATGATGCGTGAAGGGGACGTATGGGAATATCAGAATCTGAGGTGCCGGAGACAAGCGAGCCAAGATGCGCCATGACCAACTTTACATCGTAGCGCTCACATGGGAAACACTGCCGCATTGTGTTCAACGCATTGATGGGAAGTGGTTCCGAC